TGCTTCATATCATGATGCTGCCACCACCATGCTTCACATCATGATGCTGCCACCACCATGCTTCATATCAGGACGCTGCCACCACCGTGCTTCACATCATGATGCTGCCACCCTCATGCTTCACGGTGGAGATGGTTTGTTCATCATGGCGTGCATTGTCTGGCGTCTAAACACAACGTCTAGTCTTATGGCCAAGAAGCTTAATTTTGGTCTAATCAGATGAAAGAATCTTCTTCGAGTCTCCACACGCCTTCTGGTAAACTGTAGTGTAGATTTAAGATGAGCTTCTTTCAACAGTGGAATCTACTTTGCCACTCTCCCATAAAGCCTTGACTGTTGAAGAACAGTTGTTGTTTGCACATTCCCTCCTATTTTAGCTGCTGAAGCTTGTAATTTCCTTAAGAGGAGTGATAGGTGTCTCGGTGGCCTCTCATGTCTCTTTCTTGCATCATCACGCAGGTTTTGAGGACATCCTGCTCTGGGCTGATTTACACATGGGCCATACTCCTTCCATTTCTTACTGATTGATTTAGCTGTAGTCCAAAGATATTCAGTGACATTTTCTTCTGTCCATCCCCTGACATGTGCTTTAAATGGCTTGGAGTCTTCTTCAGTCTTCATGGTGTAGTTCTAACCAGCAGCACTGATTCACCATTGACTGGGTCTTCCAGAGACCGGCACCTTTATACTACAAACATCTGAGACACAGTCACTGCACTCAGATGATCTCCATTTAAAACTGTGTCGTTTGCTTTTAATTAATTGACATTACTTGGAAGAAATCTGTTTTCCCTTTGACATTACAGTCTTTCTTGTAACTTCTTGTCATATTAAAACGATCATGATTGAATGTTGAACAACGATAAAAGGAGAAAACTCCCAAGAGGGCTGAATTCTCTTTACAGGCGCTGTATTTCTACATGAGGCCTCTGAATGAGCAGCTGTGTGAAGCTGTCTTGGCCGAGCCTGTATTTAACAAAGTGCCAACGAGTGGTTTTATTTGTTTAATTCTAATTGCTCACTCATTTCACACATAAAGGTCAGTTTGTTTGTCATGGTTAGCGCTACACAGCCTGTAAAAACACTGCACAGTGTGTTCTGTTGTCTGGTCAAACTTTGTCAAGCCTCAGAAACTAATCCTGATGATGTCGTAACTGTTATATCAGCACGGGCTACAAGACTGAAATATTAAAACAGAAAGCTACGTTACAAGGGAAGGCCTAGCAAAAAAAACTAAACAAAAAAAACTAAACGTCATTTGTTGTATAATGGGAAATATGGGATTTAGTTTCTAGTAGGTTTTGGCTCCAATGACGAACTAAAAGTCAGGACATCTCAGCCTGTGTTGCTCATTTTATAATCTGTCTGTTGCGAGCTTTAGCTGCAATATCAAATCCAAACAAAGCAAATACCCCTTAGATTCTATAAATCTGGATTAAGTCATCAAGCAGCTCAAGTCCTCCGCCTACCACCATGTTCAAGGCTTTACCAGCTTTTCCCACAATACACAGAATATTATTAACGGCTTCTTACATGGACCAAGACGTCCCTGTTTCTCTAAATCCTGCTGCTTCCAGCAGTAGCTATGAACGGGTTGAGACAAGGGATGTCACATGGGTCAGTGGTTAGATTTGGCCTCTCTGACGTTTTTAGTTTTCAAGATTTATTTGGCATATTTTGCTTTAATTGCATAGTTTAACGTGAAGAGATAGATGTAGGGTTAGGGTTAGCCCAAATCCAACCGGGGACTCTGCAGTTATGTGGTAACCATGTGGCCTACTGTTTATTTACATCCCAGATTGTCTGGGAAAGTTTTCTTTTTCTTTTTGTGTTTTCTTTACTTTTTTTTTTTTTTTTCAAAATTTTCACTTCAATATGAGAACATCTGAGGAACTACTGACAGTGAAAGCCTGACGTGTTCGCTGCTTCTTTTCATCATGATATTGATTCAGAATCTGAAATATTGGACAAGTAGATCGAATAGTCTCTGATTATTTACCAAAAAATTGATAATGCAGAAGTATACAAATGATATTTTGTGAACCATATGTTGAAAACAACACATGTAGAGTCTTGTTTAATATGAAATACTTGGTGAAAAAAAAGAAAAGAAAAATTGTTAAACTAACTGAATGAGCTGGGATTACGAGTTGTACCACAAAACCAAAACACTTGCTAAATAGCCTGATAATACTAAAATAAAGTTATGGAGTTTATATATACATAGATGTGTATATGGGTATTTCATTTTTTAAATCTTCAGTAGTCCCCAAGATGTTGTCATTCCAACATAGCCTCAAATTTCAATGTGTGAGAAAATAATGCTGAAAGTAGGTAGACGGGCGATTTAAAAAAAAAAAAAAATCTCCCAAAGTTTTTGATATATCAAGCTAAAATTTTACAGATATAATTTTAAATATCTCTACTTTATGATAAAAAAAAAGAAAAGTTTCAAGCAAATCAGAGACGATTGATTAGAGATGGAATAACCCAACATCCTGGAAGCACTGATGTGCTCACATACTTGTTCTGATATTTAATTTTTATGATTAAATATTTGACTGTACATTTGTGTGTTATAAACCCTTTATGACACTTACTGCTATTTGCTATTGACTTATAACACTGCTTCTTATTTCTCTTCCAACACTTAATGCATACATACACTTGTTAATCTTCATGGTACTGCTCACACTGCTCACACACCAAGTCAAATTCGTTGTATGTGAAAACCCTATAGCGCAATAAATCCTTTCTGATTCTGGTTTCTCTCTCCAGGGAGGGCAGCACCAGTATTCTCAACAACCTGCTGTCCAGGATGGAGCAGTACGCCAACAACCTGGAGAACCTGGTGGAGGAGCGAACACAAGCCTACTTGGAGGAGAAGCGGAAAGCTGAAAACCTCCTCTATCAAATATTACCACAGTAAGTCAAAGTCAGACTCACGCTTTTGTCCTTCCAACCAAAAAGCCTAAAACTCCAATTAAGTTGAACCCGGCACCCAGACCGAGGTGCCGGCGCGTGACTCAGTGACACTTTGCCAACTGTGTTAAATCCTCGTATTAATTAAACACTCAGATTTCCTCCCAACGCGGTGTTTTATTAACAGATACACATTTCCCCGCGGTGTGATCTCACTGTAGATGAAAGGGAACACAGAGAGCTGACAGGCAAACCGCTCATTAAGGGGAGACGGCGGAACAGACATGATAGCGAGTTTAGGCATTTGGATAACACCGCAGTCACACATTCATCCTCTTTGGCTCCTTCGCTCCGTCAGCGCCAGTCAGACGGAGGAGGCCCTGAGAGGAAGGACAGAGATCGCTTCTCACCGATAGATTAAATGACTTCTGTTGCAGTGTTGCACAGAAAATGAACACGAGTGGAATTAGCAGAGCTGAACCGACGTTATGTAATTGTGTCTGAGTTACAACATGACATGTTTTTGCAAACTACCAACTGAGAATCCTGATATTTGTCTGACCGTTCTTGCAGATCTTGACCTTCTGTCTCTCTCTCTCTCTCTCTTCGTGCAGTTCAGTAGCAGAGCAGCTAAAAAGAGGAGAGACGGTGCAGGCAGAAGCCTTCGACAGCGTCACGATTTACTTCAGCGACATCGTGGGCTTCACATCCATGTCTGCGGAGAGCACGCCGCTACAGGTGCACATCGATCAATAGCTCCGGGGAGAGATTCCCGCTCTGCAGCTCGCTGCCGCTCACAGATTCGAAGGAGCGAGTTCACCTCTGCTGACTTTCCTCGACTTCGCCCAGGCTAACCTTGAGAGGTTTCTTTAAAAAAAACCTGGTGGTCGTGATCACAGTTTGGGTGAATTCTCCTTCTCTGCTCAGGCATTAAAGTGCTCGGCAGGTCTCTACCTACAGCGTGTCTCATAGTTCCCACAGTGCGTGTTCCCACACATGAGCTGCTGCGACTCAAAATAGTACAGTAGTTAGATGGAAGAGTGTGTTGACGCAGAGTTGAGTCACGTTATGCCACCACGTATCTCCCTCTAACTTGAATAAAAAGTCAGGCTTCTAGACTGAAGACACCGTCAGGCAGCAGGTGTCAAACGCTAACGAACAGCGTCAAGACAAACTTGAACCATCCGGAGATTTTTATATTTTCATCTTTATCACAGTTCTCTTTTAAAAATGTGTAGAAAAACAAGATTTAATAACCCTGAAGGAAAGTCTTGAGCCAGATAATTGCTCAGAAAAATGACTAATGATGCCTAAAAAGTAGAAAAGTAATAATATATAGGTGTGATACAAGACTGAAATACAATAAATAAGATAAAATAAGGCTCGAATAAACAGTAAGAGTAATGCTGGCAATTATACCAGAAAAACACAACATGTAATAACATCCAATCTAGTCGTAGGATCCTAGAAAAACAAAAACCTTCCAGAATAAAATCCGAACTGCTGTTTTCTGCATTCTTAAGTCATCACACAGCGACAAAATCTATTATAAATGGTTCATAACTCACCATAATGTGAGCACATATCAGGACATTTGTG